CTCTGCCAGACAGATCTGCAGAGATTGGCAAATCCCGCCCCGCCCCGTCCCCACACCATCCATATAACAAATAAACGAGCCTCTAAGATTTTTTATGTACTTGTGTACTGTTGTCGGAATCTTTTCTGCTTCTCTGCCAGACAGATCTGCAGAGACTGGCAAATCCCGCCCCGTCCCCACACCATCCATATAACAAATAAACGAGCCTCTAAGATTTTTTATGTACTTGTGTACTGTTGTTTTATTTCTCTGATAATGAAGGAAATGTCAAATATTGAGATTGCTGATTCAAGGCCATTACGATAGTTTATACGTTAGTCTTAAACCTCTAGCGACAGAGAATCCGTCATTAATGACGAAAGCATTAACCCAATCTCCGATCTGGCTGTCTCGAGGGTTCAAATGTTGACGTCATTGAGATCTATGTGACGTTAACTTTGTGGAGTGACCTGTTTCTACTGCAAAACGGCGTCTTGATGGTCTCAGAGGGGTGGAGCCATTTTTCATATTCTCACTGGTCACGAGCAGTGGTTTACTGCGGCCAGCAAGAAACGGAAAATTTCTCTTTATCATGGGTGAAGTTAGAGAATTTCTGCGCATTTTTCGGGACATGAAGAGACCAAGTAGTTTGGACATTTTGGCACCTCAAGGCCAGGACAGGTAAGTTGTAGCTTCCTTATGGTAATGTCATTGTTCACGGACAAGTGTGTGTGATGCAGATGTAAATTTATATCTGACGTTTCTTGAGACGTACTATCCTTTCATATCGGATTTATTGTAAACAGTTTATAGTTCTCCGAACTTATCGTATGCTAGTGAACGTCTTTCCTTTACTTCTGATTTGTATTTACGTTATATCTGTAAATACTTTCAATTGCCGTATAAGCGCTTTGTTACTGGACATCTTTGTAGACCTGTTAGTTTGTTTCCTTGCCTGATATTGTTTCACCATATTGTTACGTCTCTGTGTTCGTTTGTTAATTTTCCGTAAAAATTATTTCCGATAAACTTCAGCGATACAAGTCCTTTCTTAAATAAAACTAGTTTATTCTTTTTCAACTCAACTTTGCAATACACTTAATTTCCACAGTTACTTTACCTTAACCACACGCTATAATTCACAAAGATTCACGTACTTTACTTACGGTCACTACCGCGCTGGAGTACAGTTTTTTTTCATAGTCGGAATATCAATATTTATTAATGTTACATTGTCTATAGTCATTAAACTGGAGTACCGTTTTTTTCATGGTCGGAATGTCAATAATTATTAATGTTACATTGTCTATAGTCATTAAACTGGAGTACCGTTTTTTTCATAGTCGGAATATCAATATTTAT